TTGAAGAAGAGGGGGCGGCTGGTTAGCTCAGTTGGTTAGAGCACAGTGCTGATAACACCAAGGTTACCAGTTCAATCCCCACATGTGCCACTGAGTTGTGCCCTCCAAAACTAGATTGAAACAACTACTGATGGGTCCTTGAAAAACCCAATATCCCCCAATAAATAAAAATAAAATAAATATAAATATATATAAAACATATATTTTAAATAATATTATATATTATATATAAGTTATATAATATTTATATATAAATAAAAATATAAAATATAAAATAAATATAAAATAAAATAAAGACTTTCAGCCATGGAAGTTAATTAAAAAAAAAGAAAGAAATTGAAGAAGACACAAAGAAATGAAAAGGCATTCCGTGTTCATGTACTGGAAGAATCAACATAGTTAAAATGGCCATGTTACAGCAATATGCTGTAATATCATATTGCAATATGCAGATTTAATGCAATCCAGATCAAAATTCCAATGGTATTTTTTAAAGAAATAGAACAAAAAAATCATCAGATTTGCATGGAACCACAAAAGACCCCGAATAGTCAAAGCAATCCTAAGAAAAAAGAACAATGCTGGAGGTATCACACTCCCTCACTTCAGCTTGTACTACAGGGCAACAAAAATCAAAACAGTATGGTATTGGCAGAAAAACAGACACAGAGACCAATGGAATAGAATTGAAAACCCAGAAATGTACCCACATAAATATGGAAAGATAATTTTTTACACAAGAGCCAAAAACATACAATGAAGAAAAGACAACCTCTTTAATAAATGGTGCTGGGAAAATTGGAAAGCCATGTGCAAGAGTGAAACTAGACTATTCTCTGTCACTCTGTACCAAAATTAACTCAAAATGGATCAAAGACCTAAACATAAAACCTAAAAAAATAACCTGCATAGAAGAAAACATAGGCAGTAAACTTACGGACCTTGAGTTCAAAAATTATTTTATAAATTTGACTTCAAAGGCAAGGGAAGTAAAAGCTAAGATAAATCAATGGGACTATATGAAGCTAAAATGCTTCTGCACAGCAAAGAAATCATCGACAAAATAGAAAGGTAACCAGCCTAATGGGAGATGATTTTTGCAAACAACGCCTCTGTTAAGGAGCTAATATCCAAAATATATAAGGAACTCATACAACCCGACAACAACAACAACAACAAAAATCAATTCCATTAAAAAATGGGCAGAGGACCTGAACAGACATTTCTTCAAAGAGAACATACAGATGGCCAATTAACAAACAAAAAATGCTCAACATCACTAATCCTCAGAGAAATGCAAATGAAAACCACAATGAGATATCACCTCACACCAGATAGAATGTCTATTAACAACAAGACAAATAATAATAAATGTTGGAGAGCCTGTGGAGAAAAAGGAACCCTCATTCACTGTTGATGGAAATGCAGATTGGTGCAGTCGCTATGGAAGGCAGTGTACAGGTTTCTCAAAAAATTAAGAATAGAATTACCATATGACCCAGCAATTCCTCTACTGCGCATCTACCCCAAAAATCTGAAAACTTTTATCCATAAAGATATATGTGCTCTGATGTTTATTTCCGCTGTATTTATGGTGGCCATGACATGAAAACAACCAAAGTGTTCTTCGATAGGTGTTTGGATAAAGAAGTTGTGGTATATATATACCATGCAAAACTATTCTGCCATAAGAAAAGATGAAACACTGCCATTTGCATCAACATGGATGGAACTTGGGGTTATTATGCTAAACGAAATAAGTGAGACAGAAAAAGTCCAGAACCATATGCTTTCACTGATATGTGGTACATAAAACTGAAAACAACAAAGTAACAAAACAAATGAAGACTCAAAACTCATAGACACAGACAATAGCTTAGTGGTTACCAAAGGGTAAGGGGGTAAGGGGGTGGAAGATGAGGGTAAAAGGATCAAATATATGGTGATGGAAAGAGAACTGATTTGGGTGGTGAACACAGAATGTGATATATAGGTGATGTATTACAGAATCATACACCTGAAACCATGTAACTTTACTAACAATTGTCACCCCAATAAACTTTAATTAAAAAGAGACAGAGGGCCAGCCGAGTGGCGCAATGGTTAAGAACTGGCTTGGGATGCCAGAGGACTCCAGTTCGGATCCCACATATGAGGGCCAGTGACACTGCCCTCCACAGCTAAGATGCTGAACAACAGCTCAACCTGGAGCTGGGCTGCCGTGAGTCACCAGCGACGGCGTAGGCTGCAGCCCCTGTGGCAGTGGGTTGCCATAAGCTACCGTATGTAGCCAGCAGCCAGTGTGAGCAGCCGTCCAGAAGTTGGCGACTGATCTGCCTCGCCCGGGAAGAGCACAATGATGGTGCCAACTTGGGCCAGTGAAGCAACGTCCTCCACAACTAGATTGAAGAACAAAAGGACAGCAACTTTTCTGTTCCCCTTCCCCCAATTCCCCAGCACTGTTCCCTTCCCCACAATTCCCCAATAAAAATCTTAAAGAAAAAAGAGACAGAGAAACAGAAATAGTAAATATAAAAGACTATTTTCCTCCTCTGAAATTTTAAAATTTGTGTGACTACTGAAAACAAAAATTATAACATTAACTGGAGGAGTTTTACGATATTTAAATATAATTATTGTGAGAACTGTAAAAGATTGGTTGGGGAGGGTAAAATGGTTATAAGGCTTCATTTCTTAAAAATGTATTTACAGTAAAAGTGAGTTGAGTTTTGAAAAATGCATACAGTCATGTAAACCACAGGACAATCAAAATACAGAGTAGTATTAAAATAATGAACATAATCATTACTCCCTCAAATTTCCTCAGGCCACTTTGTAATCCTGTCCTCTCTCCCCTCCACACTTCCTCACGCAACCAACGATAAGACATGTCATCATAGAGTGGTTTACATTTTTTAGATTTTATATGAATGGAATCAGGCAGGATGCATTTCTTTTTTCTGACTTCTTTCACTCAGCATAGTTATTTTGAGATTAATTTATGTTTTTTAATCAAATAAATATTCATATGTATTAGTGTACTGGGTTTCTTCTGAGAAGACCAGGTCTACCGACACATTATATGCACATGTGCATAAGTATATGCATGCATACATAAGTTAGAGAGGTAAAGATTCTGAGAGAAACATTTTGGTATATCTGCACAGTTCTTGGTATAATATTTTGTGGATACACAACTAGTAATACAGATGTAGGGAAGATGCTACAACTTTCTGGGGACAGCATATTTTCATGGAAAAGGTTAAGGTTTAGGAATTAAATAGACATGATTATCTGAATAATGATCATGACATTATTGCTGACTAAGTATCCTTGAGAAAGCTGTTTAGCCTCTCTGCTTCTTAATTTACTTATCTTTGAAAATCAGGGATAATGACAGCACTTCATATGGTTATGGGCATTAAATGAGATCACGTATATAAAGCACTGAGCATAGAGTCTGACATGTAGCAGACAAGTAAAAAGTGTTATAATCTCAAGATCCATTATATTGTTGCAAATGGCACTATTTCATCATTTCTTATGGCAGAATAGTATTCCATTATGTATGTATCTTCCATTATGTATGTAAAATAAACTTTAATTTTAAAAATGTGTGAGTTCTTTTTCTTTTCAACCTTTTAAAAATTAGTTTCAGGTGTACAAAACAATGCAATAGTTAGACATTTAAACCCCTCACAAAGTGATAACTCCCCCCCAATCTACTATTCCTCTGACATCGTATATAGCTGTTACAATCCCATTGACTCTATTCCCTATGCTGTACTCCACACCCTGTGACTATATATATATATATATATATATATATATATATATATATATATAAAATAGTTGACATTCATTATTATTCAATGGAACTAGAGAACATTATGCTAAGTGAAATATGTCAGACAAAGGTAAATACCATATGATCTCACTTACATGTGGAATCTACAGAATAGAATAAATGAACAAACTAATCAGAAACAGTCTCAGAGATATATAGAAAAAACTGACGGCTGCTAGATGGGAGGGTGTGGGGATGAGGGAGAAGGTGAGGGGATTAGAAAGCACAAACTGGTAACCACAAGATTGCCACGGGGATACAAAAGAGAGTTTGGGGAATATAATCAATAATGTTGTAAAGATTTTGTAGGGTATCCGATGGACACGTCTTTTCTACCTTTTCATTTGGGGAAAAATTCTCATCCTTAAAAAAGAAAATAGTGGTAGCTTCTTTGAGCTTAATTATAATATCATAGTGCCATCTGGTGACTATGTAGAACTATTACATTACTTGTATTGGATACTGCATTTCTGACAAAGCTCTACCACATCTCAATACCTGTATTTAAGATGTCATTTCTAATGTGTTCTGGGCTAGTTTTGAAGGGACAGGGAATGAGGGCTGTGCTTGAGGATTGCTCTCTTGAATGTAGAGACCCATTCCCTTCATGCATGTCCTTTCCTGTCAGGAGGCAGGTCTCAAGGAAAAAAGAGAAGAGCTTCCCCCATAGTCTACTCTAAGATGGGCAGATGACAGACTGAGTGTGGAAGAAAGTGAGTGAAGTCTTCACATTCATTCAGCTGTAATGGAGATGCTGGGAGGGAGCGTTTGGTATATTTTCCTGTTGGAAGGTGTGCCTTTGAAAATTCTGGCCACTGTAGCTTTGACCTTGAGTCCAATCCCAGAGGGATTTCAAATCGTGCAACCCAAAATACCATCCAAATATTCTTAAATGTGGAATGAGAGGGCTTTTCTTCATTCTCCCAACCACACCCCCACTCCCCCCAACCTGGATGAAGGACTGTATCATCAGAATGCAGCAAATGCTCTGCATCCATCAGACCTGTACCTGGGCTCAGGTTTCACAAAGTACCCCCACCCCACCCCTACCTCTACTGGCTTTGAAACTAGTCTCAGCAGATGGCCACTCTTGCCCATCTCTCCTGTGCCATCAAATCAAGTCAGAACTGGTCAATTTATTGAATGTGAATTTTATTGTGGTTTGGATTATGTAAGGCAGTGTAGTGAAGGCACTGCAGAAGTTACACAGAATGAAAAATGTGATAGGAAATGAGCAAGCTAAAAAAAAAGACCCTACAAAATATTTTTAAATGAATGCATGCTGGACTAGACTATGTACTACAACTATGATTTTTTTCATCATTGCAGAAGCATTGAAATATTGTTGGATGTGAGGGTTTGAGGGGTTTAGGAAAGGCTTCATGGAGGAGGTGGCATTTATGCTGGGCCTTGAAGGACGGGTAGAATTTTGATAGATGAGATGGAGGGAAGAACATTTGAGAATGTCTGCCTCTCGAGAAAATTCTGTATAAGTACTGAAAAACAAGAAGGCACACAAACACCTCCAGGGAGTAAAGCTTCCTAACTGAAAGGAAAGCCTTGGACCCAAAGTCCTAAGCCCGCAGATGGGGTCTTCAGTACCAATGATATTAGGAGGCACAGGACAACAGGCTTGTTTGTAAACCTAGCAGCAGCAGGTTTCACATTGCAGTCAGGGGCCCCAAAATTGTTGTACTATGCCTGGATGAATTTTCTTATACTTTTAGGGTGTGTGGTACTTATTCATCCTTCCGCTTGCCCACTGACTGCCTGAATCATAGTTCATGCGCGCCCATGTGCGCACATGTGAGGGTAGGCGTGTGTGGATGGGTGGGGGACAGAGGCTTTGTCTCCCACTGCAGCTTCTTCCCCTTTGTTCTCTCGTGGCACACAGCTGGCTGCCTTTGAGCTAGAGCTCAGGCAGTTCCCACTGTCTAGGCCTCACTGGACTCCAGCTCTCTTTTTTTTCTTTTTTAAGATTTTATGAATGAGCTGTAATTAAATATAGGATTAAGCACCCAGGAAGCTTCCTCAACATGAAGGTAACACCTACTGTAGGGAGTGACATAGGTTAGGGCAGTACTACACTTTCCGGAGGTGGTGATGGTGATAGTGGAGGTGGTCGTGGTGCTGGTGGTGATGGTAAGGGCTGGGGACTTATAAGCAGGCTCTGACTGCTGGGTAAAATGCTGCTGAGAAATCTGTAATGTTCAGTCAGGAGCTGGGATGTCAGGCTAGACCAGCTTGGCCTTGATCACCCCTCCTCATTCTTCAAAATGCCCTACAGAGGAGATATATTGGGCACCTGAAAGCAGCAAAGACATCTGTATGATATCCAGGCTGTTGCTGTCCTGCTTAAATCTCACCCCGGAAACTCCAGAGATCTTTTCTTGTCAAACATCTGTATAATCTCCAGATAGGATTGTTACCTCCCCCTGTCCAGCTGCTGGAGGTATATAGGTTATGTAGCTACTAATGCTACTTGGATCAGGAGGTATGGGGAACTTATCAGAAGAAAGGAAAAGTTAATTACTATTAATTTTTCTTTCAAAAGATTACAGACCTGGCATCTGACAGAAAATAAAGGGATGGAAAGCTCTGTCAGGACTTTTTGGAGCTGGAGATTTAAAGCTCAGTGAGATCATCGCTGGAAATAACCTTAAAGCTGATGTGGCCTTGCTTTACTTTGGCAGTTGGACCACCCTTCTTACGCAAGTACAGAGACTTAAGATCACGGCAGTCACTGGGGTCAGCATCCAGAGTAATCTGCCCCAAGAACTGATCACAGAATTTTCGGCTGTTCCAGACCTGGAGAGACAAGTCAAAAGAGTGAAGGTGAGCAACCCTCTATGAGATTAGACTTTGTCCAGTGGCATCTAGAACCTAATGCTGAGCTTGAAAGTTCTGTTTAAAAACCAAAAGACGATCTTTCATGATACCTCTCTGGCTGAGGGGAAGATACCTCAAACAGTGATGAAAAACCAGCAAGCAGAGTTCAAGATCAACCTTGACCTATGAGATGGCTACTTAAAGGCAGCTGGTCAGAAGTATTAGTCAGAAGAACAACCAAACTAGAATGGTCTATCCTGACCTAGCAGAATCAGGATCATCTGAACTGGCACATGCTTCCTCTCATGAGATTTTACAGTACATGTGTTAACACGTGTACCTGTGAGCATGAGAGCTTCTGCCCACAATGAAATAAATAGAAAATAGAATATTTAGGATGGAGATTAGTAAGGAAGTCAGTGCCTGTGCCTGGTGGGAGGTGTCTTTGAGTATTAAACAAATATACAAAAACAAGGATAACCCTTGCTCTGTATCCTAGACATATATGAGACACTTGGAATAATCTAGTACTTGATACTGAATGCTAGCTCTCCTGGCAACCTTATTCACATTCTTACCTGCACTATAATAGGAATGTCAGTTGTTCTTCTGTAGAAAATGGCCTGTGTGTCAAAAATGGCATGAACAGTATTCTTTTGGATAGGAGAGCGGACTTCTTCCTTTCCACACTTGATGATCAAATATGGGTTCACATCTGGAACAAAGTGACATTTGTTTTTAACACAGTGATTACAGTTCTCTTTCCATATAGTCAAGAAACTATCTCCCTAAGTCTATTCTGGGACTTTCAGCATAATACCAGGAACCAGAATGACCTAGGAGTTTTGTCCCTGCCTCTCTTTTCTTTTCTGTACTTTATAAAGAATAGAAAAATATAAAAAGAATATTATGTAGGTCTTGCCCAAAGAAACTTACATCCCATTCTCTGCCATGATTGAGAGCCATCCTGACTTGTCTAGACTGAAAATACCATTGGAGAGCATCATTTGTGACCACCTTTTCTAACCATGCATGTGATAAATGAAACTGAATTTTGTTTCACCAGACATTCCTGCAGTTCTTACTTTCATTGGCATACTTCTTCTCCAGGCCCTCAGCGCTGTGAACAGTGATCTGTGTAACTACCTTTGGGTAGCCACGAGCTAGGTTCCAGCAGGACATCTTGGGCATGTCCAGAGTCAGTTCCCTGGGACATCAAAAAGAAGACACATTATTGATGATGAATGCCCTTTGATGAAGAGATAGGCTTGCCAAAGCAGACATTGTTGCTGAAAAGCATGAAATGCTGAGTGACCTAGCCCATTCCTCCTCAGACATGCCTTACATTTTATGAGTGTGTTTTCCTTTCCCCTTGGTTTAAGAACCAGCAGATAAAGATCAAAGAAGCAAGGCTGGGGTGAAAAGGTAGCTTTAGTGACCCAGCACTCAGAACATAACAAAGGAACACTGAAGAGTGCCAGCTGTCTAAGAGAAGAGTCAGCCAGAGAACAGAAGATAAAATATAAGTAGAAAAGCTGAGGCTATAGGCCTGTGCCTCTTAAATGGCAGGTCAGAGCTTTGAAGTTCGGACCACCACAGATCGCTACTGGGTAATTTCTCATAACCCCACTTTGAGAAATATTTCTACCACCATCAATTCAGTTAAATCTGATGTGAACATGTTGACCCTTTCAGTGTCTGCATAGGGAGAGAGGGCCAAGGTGGTTAGGATTGGAGGCAAAGCAGAGAATGGGAGTTTTCCGGGCTGGCCAAGAAAACTGAACCTGAGCTGGACAGGCACTTCAGAGAAGATTCTCAGGAGAAACTCGCTGGTGCGGCCATGCTGAAACATGGTTGGGACAAGTACATAGTTGCCCTTCTTCAGGTACTTGCTCAGGAACACAGTGCGTGTATCGATATAGGTGGAAGTCCCAGCACGCTCCTGGATATAAAGGTGGTGAAGGCGGAATTTGCGATTCATCTCCACCTGGAAATGAAATAGAATGAAATGCTGCATTTCGCTCAAGTCACAGTTTTTGTGTTGGAAGATCCTAGGTCCTCTTCTTTATTTATCCCTGGACCTTTCTTAATTCTCTTTACTGCAAGCCATCCTAAGTTTGACTCCATTTGCCATCATTCTCTCTGTTCCAAATTCCCATTCTTACCTTGAAGAGCTCAAAGCCAATGATGTAATTATCAGGTCTTCCCATGCGACGGTAAGTACGTAGGTCCTTCTGTTGCAATGACATGATGACCTTGTGCCCATCCTCAGGCACAGTGAAGATGTACTAAGGGAAAGAGGCCACCAAGAAGCTTAGTTAGCATTTCCATTTCAGATAAGCCAGCTCAAATTTCAGGGAAGAAAACTCTACATTGTAAAGTAGAGACTTGAGGTATATTCTGGGCTATGCCATGGGCCACACAATGAGGCCTTGTATAATTCGTTGACTTAATAAGTGTAGATCATAATGCTTAATTCCCCTTATGGCATTCATCATGTATTGAGAGAAACAGCTTCATGCCTAGGTCTTTGATGCCAAAGAGGGTATGCTTTGTTTTAATAAGTTCTTGAAGGATCTTGGGTGTTTTTTATTATTGTCCGATTACTTTTGAAAGCTGTACACAGAAAAAATCCAGAACATATGAAGACAGAAAGTATTCTTGTTTAACTTAACCTGACACTGCAGCATCTCCCTAGGGCCTAGGCTAACCTATTGCCAGCCCAGATACATTGCTTATAGAGGAGCTGGATCTACTTCCTTGGAGAATTGATCCTTTGCTACCACCATTTTAGGGTTACGAGTCAAATACAGGGAGAAAATGTCCTGGTTCTAGATAAGAAAAGGGAGGTATAATGATGGAGTTCAAAAGAATCACCTGCATGAGAAAGAGGACACGTATAGTCAATGTGCACACAAGATAACAGTTGGGCAGAAAATAAATGAAAAATAATTGAGAAAGCATCTGGCAGAAGATCCTTTCTCTCCAATGTGGGACCATCACAAGGAAGTGGTGTGTCAAAGAGCCATATTAAGCAATATGGCCAGGTGACAGGTAGGCAGAGGAGGTGGCTCAGACTTGACAATGTTGCTAAGATACATCTCTGCAAAGAGACACAGTCTGTCAGGCTTTACAAGCATCTCAGCCAATCGCTATGTATTTTGGTTGATGAATGTTACACAATAGCTGCAAATGGAAGAATTGATGTCAAAAAAATACTCCAAGGCAAGCCTGGGTTCCTATTGCCTTGATAACTTGGAGACAAAAAAATACATTAAGTTATTCAAACCTGAGGATTCTGCAGAAAGGTGTCACGGTTGTTATAGCAGCCACCTGAACGGTTCATCAGGGGATCATCATCCACAGTCCAGCATCCCACCACCGATTCCAGTTCCTTGCGGCCAAAAATGGGGTTGTTCACATTGCGGCAGACATGCAGTTCATGAAAGTTGCGGCAAAAGTCCTCCAGGCTCATCCTGAATGGAAGGAGTACAAGAAAGAAATGAAGATGGTATTCAATACCTACCCCTGTGGTTCCATGTAGAAGCCATAATTCCCTTAACACAGAAAGCTTTTCCTCACCAAAACTCTCCATCATCAGACATAACAAGCCCCAGGTTCTTGCGATCTGCTGCAGTCAGTTGCTGCCACTCTTCAGAACTAAGGGAAAATGAACAAAGGGATAAGCCGTTGTGTTTGCCATTGACTTCCTACAGTAAGCAGTATGCCAAAGAAACAGAACTCACGACGATTGGGCCTGCTTTATCTCACCTCTGGCTGGGTCCAAGACCCCATGCTTAAGAGCCCACAGATGTCACTGAGCACCGACAGCCCACTAGCAGTCTAAAGGAATGGGTTTGGGAGAATGACAGGGCTTTAGGGGTGTAGCAAAGTGGGATGGCACTCACATTTCACTCCAGGGGCCACTCCATTCCTGTCTTCCCAAGGGGTTCCTCAGGCGAACCATATACAGCTTCTCAGTACTGAAGACTTCCACAAGTCTCTCTCCAAGACGAATCTTGCGAATATCAGTCATGGTGTAGGTATGGCCCTTCAGTAGACCCCAATCAGTTTCAACTTCTTGTTCCTCCTGATTGGGAGACTGAGAACAAAGGAAAATACATAAGAGCACAAGAATTGGGAGCTCTAAGGCGGCCTGGCTCCTCCTTTTCCTTGATTGGTTTACCCCAGTATGGTTGAAGGTAATTCTCTCTGTGCAGATAAAAATTTGATCCTGACACCTAACTTGACACAGAGTAAGTAAAGGAAAGAAAAAGAAGAATTTAATATGGGCTGGCCGAGTGGCACGATGGTTAAGAACTGGCTTGGGACACCAGAGGGCCCCGGTTTGGATCCCACATATGAGGGCCAGTGACACTGCCCTCTA